CAGATAATTCCCGCGAAGCAGAGCCCGGCCCTGCCCTTACTCAAAACGCTCTACTCGCTGCTCCCTCTGCTGGCTCGTGCTGCAGCTGCCTGAGCGCAAACGCAGGCGCGCACAGAGCCCGTTTCCAACCCTGTCACAGCTAACACCTGGCAGGGGCAATCAGGGCCTATTATGTGAAGAGAGAGAGGAAAAAAAAGTCAATATCCGTGATATTTTGAAATTCTGGATGGTTATAGTATAAAAGATGAGGTGGATTTTTTTTTTAAAGCTGAAGTACTTAAAAATGCAGAAGCCCACAAAAAAATAGATTAGCAAAAACTTTTTAATTTCAAGATTTTGGAGGGAACACAGCATCTGACACAGAAGGTGTTAACAGGCCAAGAAAGTCCAACTTACAGGTGGTTGTAAGTTGCTGGCCAAGCCAGCAGAGAACAAGGACTCTTATCTGCCGGATGTCAAGTCATATCTGCCCCCAAATTCAGGTTTCATCATGATGAACCTATCAAGCTTATATCCACTACTTAGTGGCATCTAAAAATCTGGTCACGGCACTTTGAAGGTATCCATCAAAGTTCATCATGGCAACTGAAAATGTACTTTCTGGCTACTTTCACCCCTTCATGGTGGCAAAAAGAAAACCCTGTTCTGTAGTTCCCTAGGCACTAGCCTGCAACAGGACACTGGTGAGCACCAAACACCAGCTCCTGTCACCAGGCTAACAGCCCACACGACGTGTCCTCCCCAGGCACCCAGCGGGTGGGCAGGCTGCCAGCTGGGAGACCTCGCTGCAGGACTTCAGTGCAAAAGCAAAGGACAGCAACAAGCAGGGACAAGAACTTCCTGGTCAGATTCTTTACACTTAAATAGCCCAGGAAATTCTTTACAGGTCTGTGTGTGTGTGTGTGTGTGTGTGTGTTTGCATGTATGAATCTACGTGTACTTGGCCATCTTGTAGCACTGAGCAGGACACTAGCAACTTGAATTCCACCCTAGTCTTTGGCCATAGGCACCCTGTTTGCCCTCACCTACACAGCTGCAAAGCTTGTATAATACCCTGACTGTGAACAGGGTTTAGTGTGCGTAACACCACTTCCATAGTGTTAATACTTGACCCAACACAGAATCATGATACTGCCCAAGAAAATAAACCCCTAAACGTTTTGGCTAAGGAGCAATTAAGATTTCAAGAGACTTTGTGTGTAATCAGGTGCATTATTTCCATTTTCAACCCTCATCATCCAGATATCTTCCTGCTCCTCTAGAACAAGGGCTGCCCAGTCCAGCCCAACTCCTCCCTCCCTCATTCCCCTTCCCAGACACACAGATTTCCCACGCACAGGAGCTCTGCTCAGGCCTTTTGACTGGGCAGAAGGAGAAGCAGCAGCTGAGCAGCAAGTGGGGAAGCTTGTCTTGCTTCCTGGCCTTCCAGCTCTCCTCATTGAAGGGCCATGCAAATACTGCTCCCCGGTTCTGCAGGGAATCAAGCCCTTAACCATACTTGGTGGCACAGAACAGGATATAGGACTAGCCTTAGGAATACCATGAGAGTATTAACACCTAATAAATTTAGCATCCGAAAATCACAGGATTACCAACATAGCGTACATAGGCAGTAGTCCATGCCTGGGGATTTATTTCAGATCTACACTACCACTCCTAAGAGTCTTGGTTCCTATACTATAATGACTCATGTAATGGCCTGAATCCATTAGTGATGAAAACTTGGCTGCTGTTGAGCCATAAGGATCGGTTCTGAAGATATGACATGAATGTACCGCTGAAAGATGAAGGCCAGCCTATGTGTAATTAAATATCAAGAATACTTTATATGATTCATAAGGGCTTAGGAATAATATTGACTGTATTATCCTTGAAGTAGTTATCATAAGTAAGCTGGGGCAATGCAGTATTTCTGCCACATAGCTCTTGGATGGGACAGAGGATGTTTAAAAACTGTATTAACAACTGTAAAATTGTTACATCCTTGATCAAACAATTTCACTAAGACACTCCATGCACTTATGTATGTATGTCTGCTTGAGCAGGGGGGTTGGACTAGCTGATCTCTACAGGTCCCTTCCAACCTCAACCATTCTGTGATTCTGTAACTCCGAGTACAAGAGAAGACAACGGGCAGTCAAGGGCTGCATCAGCAACTTCTCTTCCAGGATTCTGATCTTTACAACTTTGGCTGTAGCTATTCCTAAAACAAAACACTTCACAAATAAGAGCAACTGACCTAGACAACAAAAGCAACCCTGTTATTGAAAAGTAAGCAGAAACTGACCCAAGAAAAATATTGTAGTGCACTTTACAAAAACAGAAGACTGTTGGAACATAGTTATTTTCTTCTTTAGATATTGGTATTACTAAACATGAGATTCTCTCTCACTGAGCTGGGCCATGCACTTTGCTACCTACAGCTTCAAGGTGCCAACACTGTAAATATAAGTCATAGCTGTAAATACTATATTATGACTAAATGATTTATTATGTTCTTGGACTGTTGCCCTGCTCACAACACAACAGTTTGATTCTACTTACTGACCAGCTGCTGACTAGCTATGATGCATCCCCCCCAAAATCCTAGGTCTATGTATCTCCCAGGTCAGGCAGAAGTCCCAACTTATCTCTATAATAACCCACCCCAAAAGCCCAGATGCAATCAAGGAAGGATTCACTCCCACCTGTGCTGATCCCACTGATTGCTGGATGGAAAATTTTTGGAGCTAAGATCCCCTTCTGTGTTTTTTATGTTGGCAATCTTACTAGGAGTCCTTTTGAATAATTAATAAAACATAATAAAACTAAAGGTTTTGCCAGAATTTGATGCTGTAGAATTGCACTGCTAGCATATATTGTAGTACTTATGTATGTATAAGCAGTTCAAAAAAACCCTGTATCAAAGCCAGCCAGCCCCGTATTAATCAGCACAAGCACAGCCAAGTGGCTAGTTGCTGAGAACGGCTCTAAGCTGTGCAGGACATCCAAGATCTGTACATAGTGAAACCACAATTTTTCCAAGTTTACTTGAAGTATCTTTTATTCATCAATATTGTGCTTCCTTGGGGGATCTGAAATTGCCACATCTGTGCTCCACATCGTCACCTCATGTTTAACTAAGGAATAAAGAGGCATGAGGCAGGCAGAAAATGGTACTCCTAGGTTCTGCATTAGGCGTCACCACAGCAGCCTCCAAAAAAAAATACGATGCTTCTGTTGCCCAAGGTGCAAATAAAATAAACTATGTTTTCCTCAGAATTGTCAAAAGCCACTTTTAAATGGATTTCCAGTGCTTTCCATAGGTTTTATACTTTTAAAACAGTGAAAGGGAAAATCCCTTTTTTGGCTAGTGAGTCTGTTTTTGATATTCACAGATGGAGAGAAATTATTTTGTAGTGCCACTTATAAGGAAAGTTAATCGCCAATAGAAGATTGTTTGAAAATATATTTAAATGCAGAGCACTATAATTTCCCTTATTTGGCTGCCACCAGCAATGCAACGGAAGAGGTGCAGAAGAGAGCAGGAAAAACAACTGAGAGATGGACATGCTGAGGTCTCTTTATCTGAAAACTGTGTGGTAATTGCCTTTCCTGCCCTGTGGCATACAGGATGCACTAATCTGGCATTCCATGAGTAAAGCAAAAAAGCATAATGCAAACCAAGAAGTGTCCAACTCTACACTACTGTTTTACCTTACTAAATTACTAAGACACAGCACTGTTGGCATCATCACAAAATATCACGGAGAGATTTCTATAAGGTCCAACCATCCTTGTCCTAGAGCTGAGTCTCATTTCCATCAGTGTAACTTGGCTGATTTCAACAGTTCTCTCTGACTGACTCCCTGCTACAAGGTCTGGTTCTCTTTGCTGACCAAGATCTTGTCCTTGGTTTGGACCCCAGATGAGCAGTTATAAGCCTTTCTTCCTCTTGTCCAGCTGCCTGTTGACATCTCCTATCTTGAAGACAGCCTTCAGAAACCCATGTCTGCCAAAATCAACAAGAATTTTGCCTCTGACTTTACTGGAGTTGTAAACTGTCTCTTTATCTTTTCTTCCTCCCTCTTCACCAACCACTGCAAGGAAGCAAAATCATCAGTATTCTTCTGCATAGCTCAGTTCCCAGACACCACCTTCTGTCAAACAAGGTTTTTTTTTTAATATTCTTAATTTACATTTGGGGGTTTTCCTCCATACTGTCCATACGGGCAGTGTCTGACCTCTTGAAAACCACATCCAGCTGTGAGCATGCGTTCCCTCTTTCTCCTAACAGCTGACCCCAAAGACAGCAAGCCTCTACTGTGAGCTGCAGGGAAGAACGTCCCACACTAGGCTCTACCTGCCACAGCTGCAGCTCTGCATCTGCTTTATACTCACTCATTCAGCATCCAGACTCAGCACTGCCCATAGTTTATGGTGGGGAAGCTGTACCAAGGACAAGAGTGAAATAAGTGCATTCAGGTGCACCTGACATCTAAGGTCCACATCAGCACACACACATACACAAATGCGGCATATTCTCACTAACTTATTATTTGCTGTTTAAAATCCATTGGCACCCTTGGTTCTCAAGCCTGTTACAAAAATTATCAGTACTGTTCCACACATACCGCAGTCTTCCTTGCAAAGAATGGGCAGCGGATGCCAGAATGGGATTAATAATAGTATGCAATACATAGTAATATAATATATGCAATAGTTAGCAATAAATTTATCCTTTACATTCATATGAAGTCACTAGCAGAGTGCAGGATTCACTTCTGCAGAAGGTAAATTCAGCTTCCATTGCATTCAATACAAGCTGTACCTATTTCTAGAAGAGGCGAGTGGTGTGCAGGGCTTTTGGTGGCCATCATTACAGCAAAATGAGAAAGGTGCAAAAGATGCAAAGGGAAATGGATGGAAAGAGGCAAAGGTGCAGCCCAAGGTGTAAATGCCAGGTTGCACTTGCTGCCAGCTGCTCTGCAGCACAGGCAAGAGAGAGGACAAATACCTACCGGGCTTAATTTCCAGCAGCTTCAGCCTGGAGTCCTCGGGGGGATGCAAACGCCTCTTTTTGCGCCAGCAGCGAGCCGGGTATGTGTAGAGCTGACCTGGGGCCAGGCCTGAAGATAAAAGGCAAAAAAATAAATAAAATCACTTTTCAGTTTGTAAACCACAAGCACTGTCTCTGGCATCTTTGTTTTTGCCCTCCCAGGATTCCCTTGTTGGTGGGTTCAATCCTGTAAATTGTGAGACAGAACTATGCACTCAAGGCATACAGTGCTCCAGAGGCTCCTCAGCACCTCATGGGATCAGGCCTACAGAGAATCTAGGTCTCACTCACACACGTCACTCTGCTCACTGAAACCAGAGCTTCACATAAATAATTTGTTTTTTCTTCAGGGTAAATAGAATTTCAGGCTCTCCTGGGTCACAGGAGCAATGCCTCTTCCATAGGCAAACAGGGCCCCTTGGGAGAGAAGAGATAAAGTTCCTACTTGCAAACTCCAGGGCCCCAGCTCAGGGAATTTGTGTCTCCTGAGCAGCAGGAAGCTAAGGTCCATTCGATCTGGTTATTTGGACTCTGGAATTTTGCTTAAATTCTCGGTTTTTATTTAAAGACAGATTCTTCTGGCTCATTGTTACCTTCCTCAAGCACATACCTTAAAGGAGGGAGGAGATACAGCAGTAATCTTTATCTTACAGCATGCTCTACTGTGGCCTTGCTGGCCTGGGTCTGAGCTGCTCCACCCCTCTTGGCAGACAGCCTTTCGCCAGGGCCAACCTCCTCTTTGCTCTCTGTCGTATTCAGAACACGTCAGGCTTCGCGATGGCATCAGTACGAGGGGAAATACTATGCCAAGTGCTACTGAGTATTGCCAGCTCCACCAGTTGCTCGTGACAGGCAGAAAAAGACACCCAGCAAGACCCATACATTTTGGAAGAAAGTCGCTCCTTCCTTTGCCTCTGCAGACCTCTCTATCCACCACTTGTGCATTGGCTTTTCCATCCTCCTACAGCTTCCTGCTGTTAAGGAGCAGGACTCGCCTTTGCAGACTCGCTGCCCTCAGAGAACAGCCCAGGCCACACAGGGACAGGCCAGGAGCGGTGCGGCCATCCCCGAAGCAGGAGCAGCTGTGGGCGCCTGGTCAGCATGGAGGCAGGCACAGGAAAGAACAGCAGGAAGGCCCAAGGGTTCTCAGGCTCGCTTCTGAAAGAGCCAGGAAAGGGCCCAGCCAAGGAACCGGACTGACTCCCTGAGCCAGATGAGGATAATGCAAAAAAGTAATATCCTATTGGGATATTTACTTGGGAAAAAAAATAAATAAAAGACAAAATTATTCACCTGCAGCTCTCAGTTTGAAGTATTTTGGCTGTTGGGAGTCAAACCCTTGGTGCAGCGCAGCCGCTTTCAGGCCCTGGTGCCTGAATCGAGCATCCACACAACACCCAGCCGGCAGACGGAGTGTTTGCAGGTCCTGGCTGCTCCGAGGCATGGAGCAGGGCTGCTCTGGACTGGGGCACCCTCGCTGTGCTGCTGCACACCTTGCTGGGTGTTACGCCCACCACAAAGCAAGATGCATTTCAGAGAGGGACAAATCCAACCCATGACTGGCTTGGGAATACAAACCTATGAATAATTACAACTTTTACAGTGCTTGACACACTTCTTCACAGCAATTTGCAAACATTAGCCACCGTGAACAATTGCTATTATGATGGGGTGGATTGTGCCTGCCTGGTGTGAGTCATTACAGAGGTGGAGGCAAAGGGCCTCACCCTTTTAGAGCTTGCTCGTAACACTGAGGTAGGGGGTTGCTAGACCAAAGCAGGGGGACAGAGAATCAACCCTCCATTGCACAGGCCTCTACAGTCCTTTGAACGAAACAAGCACCTTGGATTTGAACATTGCTCCCAGACAGGGAGGAACAAGGATTCGCTGCAGTCTGGGGGGAGTTTCTCTTGGTGTTGGTTCAATTATTGAGTATTTTTATATGAGTCATCAGTTCTGGATTCGGGAGGGGCAGTGGAACTCAGTCACAAAATGCTGAAAGCCACAAGGGAACCAAAGCAGGTATCCACCAAAGACAGAGGTGGGAAAGTGTCTTCCCTAGAGGCCTTCAGCCCATGCCAGACAGACCCCTAAGTTCCATAGACCTTCAACATGTACCCCTGTGCTCCTTAAGAAAGCTCTTCATTCCTGTCCCCAATATCCTTGCTCACAGACAGGACGCACCCAGGGAACTTAACCAGCGCCAAACCTTCCCTTGATGCAAATTCATCCCCATCTACCTTCAGCTCCCAACCCTGACCCCCATCCTGCACCGTGACGGCTCAAACCAAGCGCGGATCTTTGGTCACGTACACAGAGAAGAGGCAACAGGCAAAGAGCCTGTCCTGAGCCCTGGGAAGCTCCGCTGTGGATCCTGCAGTGCACATGGCCACTGTGCACACGTAGCTCCTGCTGCTTGCGCCCCTGGCACTGTTGTCTCTCCCGCTGGTGCCTTATAGGGCAACCAGAGAAGGTTCCAATCATTTGCTTATAGAGGAAATAGCAGAACCTGCAGTGAGTTATGTTGTTTATCTCATTAGTGTAGGAGAGTCATAACTCAAAGCTTGTGTGAAAGGCCGGGGGAGGAGGGGAGAGAGGGAGGGAGGGGGTTCTGTGCAGTATTGTGTGAAATTAACCCTGGACTGTTTATGGGGAGATGTGGTTTTCTGACTCCTGTAACAAAGAGGACAGCAAGAGGGCAGGTTACTATGCTGAAATTTGGACTCTCCTCTGCCTTTAAGCTCTCTGGAAGTGAGAAGAGGTCCTGGAGCTTTTCCACTTGCCTTTATACAGTTTTCCAGCTAGGGATGGTAAATGGCAGCGAGCACAGCGCACAAGCCAGACACCAGAGTGGGTGGCAGAGGATTTTCAGAGCCGTTCAGCACGGCGCAAGTGCGCTCGGAACCACCTAAAAACAGCCGTGCTGAGACTACAGAGGGATTCTTTGACCCACCATAATGGTACCACAAGAAATAGATGGTGCAAAGAGACCCAAGGGAGCACTAAATGGGCTAATAAAAATCAAGAGAGAGCAGAGCAAATATGGGGGAGGAGGGCTGCTTCATTTTGCACTGATTATTCTCATTCAAAATAACAAAGGAGTCAGATTTGGTCGCACAAGCAGATGCCAGAGGCTTGATTCCCTTCGGATTCCCCGTGAAGAATGTTCCACCATTAGCCCCACTGCAGCCCTGCAGCAGAAATGCTACGGATCACAGATAAGAAAAGAGAGATTCGCACAGAGAACTTGCTCTGGGTAGTCTAGAGAGCTGGTGACTAGAAAGGCCAAATATTTAGACCCCTTAACTCCTGTTTTGATGACTTAACACCTTATAAAGATTTCCCCTGTAAGTGCAGAGACAGCGGGGAGACCTACACAAGACTGCCTAGGTCTATTCTTGTAGCAGATGCTCCTCCCAAAACATTGTCCGTGCATAGAGTGGATGCATACTTGCCTGTGACGGAGTTCAAAAGAATAAAAATAGCAGCACCTTACTCACAGCCAGATGCTACAAGACCAGAAATTTCTTTAGTAAACAGATTATCAAATAAACAAAAAGCTTGTTTTGCCACAGCATAATCTCTTAGGAATGAGGAATTTTCATATGAGGAAAAAAAAAAAAGGAACAAAGGAACCTGTGAAAGGAGGGTTAGCCCGGAAACTCAGACAACTTCCAGCTCATAAACCACATTTAGCGGTCCCGGATTCCCCCATAGTTTTGGCAGCTGAAGTTTTCTTAGGGTATTTTTAGCCCTGGAGTGAGAGCCACCTGCTGCCTCTCACACCAGAAGTGGCTGAATTTTACTACAGAAAGCGTTTACTACAGCATTGTAAGACATAGACCTTATATCTACTTCAGGCATCTTAGGAATAGGGGCATTGCAAGGACCCTTTCCTCACTGCACTCCTGTGAAAGGGAGACGGAAGCTCCTACATAAGCACCTGTGTAGCTGCCACAACTGCTCTCTTAGCCTGTGACCAGGAGCCACACGTGCTCCTTACACCCCCTCTTGCAAACTGGCCACTTGGGGACACCACAGCAGCTGCCCCTTCCCAGGCCTGGAGGTGGTTGCTGCTTGTTACTGTTTTCAGTGTAGTTTACAGGGACTGGCATCTATTCATGCATACGTATGCACATCCTTCAGTGCCTATCCACTTAGCCCCCCATACTAAAAATCCCATATTCCTTCTGGATCCCATGAGTTCTGACTAACATCTCCAGTCTTTGAACTTGTGACCATCCTGTGCCTTCGAAACAAGGATTTCAGATGGATTTACTCTAACAAAGGAAAATTTGACCAAAGTCTGTAAAAAAAGTGGTGTTTTTTTCCCTTCACCTTATTGAGCTTTGTAATAGGCTTAGCAAAAGTTCTTTAGGACATATATAAAACATTTTCTACACTTAAGGAAATAGATGTTCCAGAGCTGATATCCAAATAATTTTTAAAGCAGAAACAGGAGTTGCATGTACATCTTCAATCAGCAGAACAACATTCATTCCAAGAGCTGCACTCCTCTGTATTTCACCTCTGCTGTATATTCTTCCCAAAATAATTTCTTATTTTTAGCATCCATCCAGGACATTCCCACCTCTGCCAGTCTACCCTGAAGATAACTCCAGTCCTGCTCAGGGTAGAGCATTTTGTCTTCTGCTCCAGGCTGGGATCAATAGCATTAACAGAGCCGCAGCGATGCAGCCTTAGAAACTACCATGTCAGGCAATCTCTTCTTTGGGCAGAGAGAGAATAATTAGGATCTGCTCTCTGCAGTTACCAAAGGAAATCCCCCCCAGGCAGAGAGGTTTAGGCCGCTTCTCCTCTGTGTGGCCTGTAGCAGCTTGGAGTTTCTATTAATTAAACCCCACGAGGGCTCCGGGGCCTGCCCTGCATCCACGCACACGCATACACAGACACGCTGCAACCAACCTGGTCCCCGGTGCCTCTTCTCCATCCAGATGTAGCAGTTGTTCTGAGCCACGCCGGTCTGCGAGTCCAGGAAGGGGAGGCGGACGCTCCTCTCGGCGCACAGGCGCGAGTTGTAGCTGCGGCAGTGCTCAATCGCCTCCTTGTAGAACTGGTCCCCGAGCCTGCCAAAGAGACAGGCCGGAGGTTGAGATGTGACATTCATTTAAAAAAGGATGAGGAGAAGTACTAGCTCTGAACGCATGACGAGCTTGTGGACACAAGGCCCTGCTGAAGCGGAGCACGCAGGAAGTGCCACCAGAAGGTCACAATCTCAGGGAGTCTTTTCACAGATCTGTTCAGTAGAGCTACAGCTACTGAATAAACTATAGATAAGCTAAATGGTGCCACCACACCGGCCCATGACCCAGGCTGAGGCAATGTGAACACCACGCTGACCCTGCTCTGTTGTTTCTCTTCCCCTGTAGTTTGTCCATCCCGGTCAGAAAATCAGCATTTTCAATCTGAGTTGTAACAACTGCAGCATATTTTGCACAACCATAATACTGACCAAGTTAGGAAGAATTTCCTTCCAGCATTTTTGATGTCAAGGAGCATAATAACAAGGGCAAAGGACATAATCTCCAATTTTGACTGATTCTTAGGCATAAAAACACCCACATCAGCATCTCAGGTCATGTCCGCAATGGTCAGAATGCACCATGTGCTCCCTTTACACTTCTGCAGCTTTGCAGTCACGTTTAAAGCACCAGAAGCCTCAGGATACAACAGCCACTGGTAGGATCCAACACAACAAATCTTCTGTTCTAAAGCCAAGCGGAAGGAACTATTCTAATGTCACTTATTTCATAAATATTTCTTCAAAAATTCTGTAGAATCTTCATCTCCCCTAGAAAAGAGTTTAAAACTCTGCCTGCTGGAGATTCCCAAATCCTCCATCCAATTTTTCTAAAGATGGAAAAGCACCAAAGCAGGACACAGGGCTGCCGCTGTGCAGGAGCCCTGCAGGGCGCATGGGCCGCAGAGCTCAACCTCGCTCTTGGTCAAGGTGAAGCAGGGCAAGGTCATCAGAAAGCAGGAGCAGCGCCACGCACAGCACCACTTGCTCCGACTCTCCTGTTCATTAGTGTGCAAACGGGGTATAACATGCACAGCGAGGGAGCTGAAGGGATGCATGTGCAGAGAGATAAAAGAGGCTCCCTTTCCTGTTCTCTTTTATTAGCTGTTTTCCCTGCTACCCTCTAGCATCAGGCACAATTGGCACTTCCACTGTATACTCCCTTTGTACACTTCTACACGTCAAACTGGGGCAAATTACTCTGTTTTCCCATTTGTGTCTTTTTTATTTTTTCGGAATAATTCACATCTTCTAAGTGACCCTTCACTTCTACCTTGTGACTTCCATGAGAGCCAGGCTCTTCTCTCTGGGCTTTATGGCCTGATAGCCTCTCACTGACAGGAGACAGTAGAAAGGTATATGGAAGAATAATGATGTTTTTTTTTTTAAGCACAGTAAAAAAAAATCACAGCAAAATAGAGACAGAGGAGTTTCCAGTTCCTCCTCCTCACTTCTGATAATCAAAACTTTATTTCCCCAAGTCTCAGGTTACCCAAGACTGGAGACATTATGCTTGATAGGCCTTGATGGACCCTTCTTTCATAAATGTATCCTACTGCCTCTTATACGCAGGTACCTTCTTGTGCCTAAACCACTGTGGGGCAGTGAGTTCCATGGATGAACCAGGTCTCCAAAGGAACAAGATATTTCCCTGAGCTTGTTTTAAGCACATCCCCAGGCTCCAGCAGATCTGCTGGAGGACTGTCCAAGTGCTTCCTGCAGCAGACTCTGTTTGCAGAGTGACTGTGGCATCTCGCAGCACTTTCCTTCCCCTGTCAGCTGTGGCCTCCTGGGCAGCTCTGCTGTGGATCTTAGCAAGGAGTGAAGGAGAGACATCCCTGGACCATGTGAGCGGTGACGAGATGAGCCATGGGCAGAGCATGACATACAAGGGGTGTCTCTGGACACAGGGTCCCCAGCAATGACCTCAATTCCCCTTTCTTCAGGAAAGGGGCTTGGGCAACAAATGGGAGCAGGGGAGAAAGGAAAAGATAAGCTGCACATACTGTGCGAAGAATGTGACTAGGACGAAAGGAAAGCTTATTAAAAGCTGTAATTAAACTTGTACACTTGTGTAATCAAAGTCAGTAACAAGGAGACTCCAGTTGATCAAAGATTAAGAGCTCTTCTGAAAACACTTGAGTTTCAGCAGAGCCAAGTCAGATTCCGCCTATGCCAAACCAGGGATGACCACTAACTCTAACAGCTCTGTGAGAGCAAAACGTCACCACGGCTCAGGTTTTCTCTATGCTAAAAAATTACTCCAACCAATGGAATAAGCACAGCACAAAGTGTCCCTTCTTAGCAAAAGAAATACCGTACATCTCAGCAAGCAAGATAGAAAACCTGGCTGGAGATGACATCAGTTTCCATCTTTTGGTAAGACTGAAGATAACCATAAATCTTTGAATATTAAACATTTGGCTTTAAGTGATACTGTCAGGTTATAAGATTAAAATTAAAATTTTCCTAAGAGGAAAAGAGGGGTTTGAGAGCCTAATATGTTTAATGACCAAAGAAGCTGCCAAGTTAGTGGGTCAAATTCAGACTTCAGAGTTTTGCAGGAGTTACGCTACTTGCAGTCCAGCCGTTTCATTACCTTTGTCTTAAGCATTTTAAATATGCATCTTTTGCCTTAAAAAGATAATAATTTAGAAGAAGTGGTCAGCCACCTCCTTACATTAAGAAGGTTTCCTTCTCACTCTTGGCTCCACCACAGCAGGCATGATCAAAAACCCACCTGCTGGTTATTTACTGGAAAGGTCACTACTCAAGTACTGGGACTTTGAAGCCTTGCCCTGACTTTAATTCTAAAGGAAAATTGTGATGAATAATAAAATATTGGGGAGTAAAGAAACTGTATTTCTTTATGTCAGTCATATTCCAGTGGAAAACAGCTTTCCTGAAATTACTTTTGGTTGGTTAGTTGGTTGGTCGGTTTTGCCATTAGTCCTCACTGGAGTGAATCTCACTTATTCTGAACTTCAGTTAATCGTTTTAAGGAACTTTAACTTGGAGGCATTTGTTTCTTTGTTTTCACGATGGAACCTGTGTATCCAAACACCAAATCTGAGCATATTATTCGTATCAGAGACAACAAAGTACAGCCCCATTTTGCTAGTCACTCTATAGCCACAGAAGTGGAATAGACTCCAGGCCTCTCCCAGAAGATTTTCTGTCTAACTGAAGAATAGACAAGGGTGGGAATAAAACTGGGCAGCAAATGAGTTGAAAAGAAACTCAAACGGATATATAGGAAAAATAATTTAGGTATGTGATCAAAAAAGCAGCTGTGTTGGGTCAGGCTTCTCTTTTACAACAGTTCACCCCAACTTGCCTTGCTCTGTGATGCAAGACAGGTTTCAGCCGTGGGCTGCAGGCTGTACCAAGGGGCTCACCATACAATCCCTCAGCAAACACAGGTATAGCTCCTGTGCGTCTTTCAGACTACAGCAACTGCTCAAGACTGCTTTCTGAAACTGGACAGCCACAGGTTGTAAATGCAGAGAAGAGGCTGACATAGCACAGAGCAGAAACAGACAGGAAGAGAAAATGGGCTCCAAATGCCTGCGGTGACGGCACCGTCRTAGTACAAAATAGGAAAGGAGCCAGAATAGGAAGAAAATATATATATATACACACATACACACACACACATATATTTATATGTATGTATATAATGTGCTGGATCATCTGAGTTTCACTGAGTGAGATATATGAAGAGAAAAAAAATATAACCAGACAACATTAGTAGTAAAATGTACACTATATGTCAGGAAGATTAATTATCTGATGTTGCATGTTTCAGAGTTTTCCCAAGCTGTGTTGCTATGGAAGAGCTACACTTCATCCCCCGGAATAATAGCTGTGAAAACTATGGGGATTTTCTGCATTATTTTCATGAAAAGTATGTATGACTCAGTGCGGCACCATGACTGACTGCAAGGGTCAACTCTTCCCGTCGGACATGAGAGTGAAAGGTCACACAGACTTGTCTAGATTGGTATTAATGATATAAAACCATCAGTGGATGCAGAGATTTCAAAGAAGCTGGGGAAAAAACAAGGAGCCGACAGGGATAACTGCTGGCCAAGGGAGGGTGACTGAAATAGCACTGAAAATAGTATGGCTGGAAATGCAGAATAGAGTTGTCAGCCCACTGCAAAGGGAACGCAGCCCCTGCGCACAGGGACAGAGATGAAATCCTGTGTGCTTGGGAGCAGCGGGAGAGGTAATGCTGCCGGGATACATGCAAGCTTTGCATTTACATTCCAGCCTGAGGACACTAAAATAAACCTGGTTCTGGCTGGCTAATAAAAGCTCTCTGGGTTGGGGGAAAAATAAAAAAAAGCAGCTTGTCTTATTGAAACCTCTGGTAGGCTGCACGTAGGCAGCCCCTTTCCAGAGAGGTATGTAGAGCCAGGAGGATTTGGGGGCTCGGTGGTGAGAGGGGGCAGTGTCAAAGCAAGGCCCGGCGGGGGCAGAGGATATGAGCGGTGAGCACCCTGCGGACCCTGGAGCGCAGCCAGGCCAGGGGGAACCGGACCCTGTGACTCTTACTAGGCCACGTCCTCTTAAATGTTGAGAAGTGAAGGTTTTCTGTGATACCAGGCATCAGATCAGCTAGTAGCAGAGCCAGGAACAAGCAGCCTTTTGCTCTCGGAGTCTCTCTGCCCGCTCTAATTAGACTCCAGGACTTCAGGGCAGACTGGGACTTACTACTTTTCTGCACGGTGCCTATTCCAACGACTCCTTTGTCCAGGCATGCCTTAAACCAAAAAACAGTAAGAACTGGCCTGGCTACACGTCAGCAACAACACCCGAAACCCCAGCTCTTCAGGGACAATTTCTTTTGCTCAGAATTTCCCTGCTTCCAAGGGATTCTCAGGGCATCTGGGAAGCAGCGGAGCAGCTTCCTCATGCTTCCTTCCAGCCCGTCCGGCAAAGCCCAGGCTACCTGTGTGCATG